GGATCTCTTTCCCTTCTCCCCCCCCGCCTCAATTCCCATTTTCCCCCGTTTTTCCCCCACTCCCGTTGAATTCCTGGCACCATTTTTCCAGCTCACCGCCCCCTCCTGCTACTCCCATCCCATTCCCACCCCCCCCCATTCCCCAAAACACCGGGAATCCTCCCATATCCCATTTTTTTCCCATTTTTCCCCCCCTCTCTCCTTCCGGACCATCCCGGGAGCCGCAAATCCCCGGAGGAAACCCCTCTGGATTCCCCGGGAGCTGCAGCCCCTGCAGGCTGAACCCCTCAATCCCCCATCCCCTGCCATCCCTCTGGGATTCCGGGAGCGTTCCCAGCCCTCAGGAATTCCCGGTTTTCCCTGTTTTCCCCAGGGAGCGTCGGCGCTCTTCGACATGATCGAGTACTACGAGTCGGCCACGCACCTCAACATCTCCCTCAACAAGCACATCGGCACCCGTGGCTGGCAGGCGGCTGCTCACATGATGAGGAAGGTTGGTGACCCCCTTCCCGGTGATCCCGGTGTTCCCGGTGTTCCCAGTTCCCTCTGGAATCTCCCGGGAGCCGGATGAGCCTCTCCCAAGGCGCTGGGGTTGGGCTCATTCCTCCAGAAACCCACCCGGGTCCCAAAGGAAAATCTCACAAAATTTCTCACAAAACAACATCTCCATGAGCTCCCAGAAGGTTTGTGACCCATTCCCAGTGTTCCCAGTGTTCCCAGTGTTCCCAGTTCCCTCTGGAATCTCCCAGGAGCCAGACGAGCCTCTCCCAAGGCGCTGGGGTTGGGATCGCTCCTCCAGAAACCCACCCAGGTCCCAAAGGAAAACCACCCCCTTCCCACCTCCCCCAACATCTCCATGAGCTCCCAGAAGGTCTGTGGCCCTTTCCCGGTGTTCCCAGTGTTCCCAGTTCCCTCTGGAATCTCCCAGGAGCCGGATGAGCCTCTCCCAAGGCGCTGGGGTTGGGCTCTTCCCTCTGGAAACCCACCCGGCTCCCAAAGGAAAACCACCCCCTTCCCACCTTCCATGAGCTCCCAGAAGGTTTGGTGACCCCTTCCCGGTGTTCCCAGTGTTCCCGGTGTTCCCAGTGTTCCCAGTTCCCTCTGGAACCCCCCGGGAGCCGGATGAGCCTCTCCTGAGGCAGGAAAATCCAGCCCTTCCCACGTGTCCCGGTGCTCCGTGCGCGTGGCCGATCCCGGCAGGAAAAGGGCTCATTAGTGTGTCATTGGGCCCGGGGTGCTAATTAACCTTTAGGGCCGGATGAGGAGTTAATTATCCCAACGGGGTTAATTAGCCCGACTCTGGGAACGCCCCAGGAGCCCCAATTAAGGTCCCGGCCCCGCTCCTGCTGCTCCTGCTCATCCCGGGAGTTCCCCATTCCAGGGATTGAGGTGGGATTGGTGGGATAAATCCGGCTGGGAAGGAGCTGGAGATTGGGAATTTTGGGGTTTGGGGAGTGTCTGGAGCACGGAAAACAGGGAATGAGGCGGAGGGAAAGCTCGAGGGAGGGATCTCGGGGTTCGGCCAACGCCAGACATGGATGTGGGGCATTCCCAGAGGATCCAGGCCCATCCCGAGGGATCCAGGCCCATCCTGAGGGATCCAGGCCTATCCTGAGGGATCCAAGACCATCCCAAGGGATCCAGGCCCATCCTGAGGGATCCAAGCTCATCCCGAGGGATCCAAGACCATCCCGAGGGATCCAAGCCCATCCTGAGAGATCAAAGCCCATTCCAAGGGTCCAAGGGGATGGATTGAAGCCCATCCTGAGGGATCCGGGCCCATCCTGAGGGATCCAGGCCCATCCTGAGGGATCCAAGCCCATCCCGAGGGATCCAAGCCCATTCCAAGGGTCCAAGGGGATGGATCCAAGCCCATCCTGAGGGGTGTGAGGGGATGGATCCAAGCCCATCCCAATGGATCCAGGCCCATCCTGAGGGATCCAGGCCCATCCTGAGGGGTCTGAGGGGATGGATCCAAGCCCATCCTGAGGCATCCAAGCCCATCCCGAGGGATCCAAGCTCATCCCAATGGATCCAAGCCCACCCCGAGGGCTCAAACCCCATCCTGACGGATCCAACCCCATCCCCACATCCCCAACCCCATCCCGCCGGCTCCTTGGGACCTGATCCATGCCGGTGGGTGTGTTTTTCCCATTCCCATTCCCGTTTTTCCCCAGGCCAGCTGCCTGCAGTGCCTGGAGGCCCGGAACACGCCGCTGCCCGACGCCGCCGCCCCCTTCGTGGCTCGGGCCCTGCGGATCAGCAGCAGCCTCACCGTCCTCCACCTGGAGAACGCCGCGCTCTCCGGCAGGCCCCTCATGCTCCTGGGTGAGTCCCGGAATTCCCGGATTCCCTGGGATCCGGGGGCGGCATTCCCGAGTCGGTGGGAACGGGTTTTATTGGGTTTTTGGGGATTTGTTGGATTTGAGTTATCCCAGGTGGGATTTTGGGTGTTGTGGAGCACCTGGAGAAGGTGGCGCTCTCTGGACGGCCCCTCATGTTCCTGGGTGAGTCCCGGAATTCCCAGATTCCCTGGGATCCAGGGGCAGCATTCCCAAGTCAGTGGGAATGGGTTTGTTGGGGTTTTATTGGATTTGAGTTATCCCAGGTGGATTTTGGGTGTTGTGGAGCACCTGGAGAAGGCGACGCTCTCCGGGCGGCCCCTCATGCTCCTGGGTGAGTCCCGGAATTCCCGGATTCCCTGGGATCCGGGGGCACCATTCCCGAGTCGGCGGGAACGGGTTTTACTGGGAATTCTTGGAGTTTGGTTGTGCCAGGTGGGATTTTGGGTGTTGTGGAGCACCTGGAGAACGCCGCGCTCTCTGGGCGGCCCCTCATGCTCCTGGGTGAGTCCTGGAATTCCCGGATTCCCTGGGATCCGGGGGCACCATTCCCGAGTCGGCGAGAACGGGTTTTATTGGGAATTCTTGGAGTTTGGTTGTCCCAGGTGGGTTTTGGGGTGTTGTGGAGCACCTGGAGAACACAGCTGGAATTGTGGGACACAGCTGGAATTTCGGGACACAGCTG